TTTAGCCAACTGATGCCTCTTAATGTATTTTTTTGTAGGAATTTGTACAAAATCGACTAAAAATGGCCAAAAATAGCCAAACCGAGGCAAACCACAGCTACGAGTGGCGATGCTGTCGTTGGACTACGACGGAGTCATCGTGCTGAAATTCTTGAATTGGCCAAAAAGGGTTTCTAAGATTGATTTTGAGTTTTTTAAAATATTTATAAGTATTTAATGTATGTTTTAATCATCGAAGGAAAATTCAGGGAACTCCGGGGACCATCAGTAGGCGCGACTGAAAGTTTAGCATCTCAAACATCAATTTCCATAAGAATCCCTCACCTTATTCCCTGTTATGGAATTGAAGTTTATATAATAATAATACGGTTATTTGCGTAGTTTATAAAATATCCATAATTAATTATAAGTCACTAATGGAGTCAGAATCGGTTATTTATTACTGTTTCCTGTGTTTAGCTGATTGGTTGATTTTATATTTTTGGAATGCATGACAGTATACTGGAATTGGTATGATGATGCGATTGTGTTTTCTTGATGCATGTATTGCTTGTTTTATGAGATTTACAGTTAAAGTGAAAAATTGAAAATTAAAGGTAAATAAGAAATTGTTTGATTAAGTAAATGGATGAAAGGAAGCCTTACTGGATATCTTGAGAGATGGTGGACGGACCGAGTACATAGGGAATCCTACCGTGAACGTTGCCTCATACCGGACGGGGTATCGAGAATTAGTATTTTAGCGCTCATATTAGACGGGGTATGGGGACGACCAGTTTTACCCTCATGCCAGACAAGGCCTTGAGGGATGATATTTTGGCACTCATACTTGACGTGGTATGGGAACGTCTCGTTAATTGAAAATATAAAAAAAAAGGTTCACGCGTAGTAGAGACATCCTTATTGACCCTTATAGATACCAGCAGCTTGATAAAAGAATAAGTTGTTGTTGCCGACTGATTGCATATGAGATTATGATATTATTTATGTTATTAACTCTATAAGTTGGTTTTGAAAATTCTGCTGCGGTAAGTATGCGGTAAATAATTTTATTTATGATAGATTAATTTACTTAAATTAAGAGTTTTATTAGTTGTTTTCATGATTTTTACCAACATTCATTTCTGTGTTGGTAAGCAGCGTGATATTCTTACTAGGTTAGTGTAGCTCATTCTTTTATTAACCATTTCAGATCAAGAGAATCAAGATCCAGAGCCCGATCCACAAAAAGGGTTGTGAGTAAGATGTCCAGTTGTTTATTTTTTATTTATTTTTTTAATTTTTCGTCATTTTATTTAAAAGAGTCATTCTTATAACCCTATTGAATAACATGACTTATTGTGTAATGAATGTAAACCTTAACTATTTATTTCGTTTTTGCATTCAATTTATATTTATTTTTTTTCAAGTTCACAGATCTTTACAAAAACACATTCGAAGACAAGTGTCATTTTCTGAAAATGTCAAATAATTAAATAATTATCATGTGTTTTTTTTTTTAATTTTTTTTGATAATGATTAATAGATAAAAAAGAATTATTATTTCGATTTAATTTATAGATATAAGAGGAATTATAATATATTAAATAGTAAATATGTATATATACATATACATACATATATATATATATATATAGTTGTTCTCCTTCATCTAACTTCTGATGTATATTTAATTTTCACCTAGATTTATAAGTACTGGGAATGAAGAGTAATTAGGGTTTTGAGTCTGAACTTGGATTCATAAATGCCAATTAACACACCACCAACCAATAATAATGCACATTTAACACGTAACAACTTTAGTTAATACATTGCATAGAATATAATGTGTACCCATATTATATTATATAAAATAAAAAATTAAAATTAAAATATCGCAAAATTAACTTAAAAGTTTATATAAAATGTAAAATTTTCAAAACAATAATATTAGAAAATTGACAATATATATATATATATATAAAATCAAATCACATCATATTATTCAAGTTTAAAATTAAAAAAAAAAAAAAAAAAGATAGTTTGAAACTGGAAGAAGAAAGTCATGAGTATTGTCATTGCCTCTTTAAAAGAGTTTGGAGTTCTTGTACAGTCACTTTCAAGAACTGCAAAAACTAATAATTAAATAAAAAATTACAAAATAAAATTTAAATTAATTAATTACAGTTTTTCTCCCTATATATATATATATACACACACACACAGACAGAGATAGTTTAGTGTAAGTGTTAATATATCAAATGAATTTAATTATTTTTTAATTTATGTAAAATAATTATTTAAAGAAAAAAAAAGCTATTAAATAATTTATTTGGTTGTTGGTTAATTAAAATTTGATTTTTTTTTTTGGGTACGTAATAAATTTATTATTCCAACCAAAAAATTCAAAAAATTTAATTTTCATTAATAAAAGTTTTAATTTAAAAAGTACGTCTGGTTGGGTGTGATCAGATCAGATCAGACCAAAGCAAAAGCTGATCACATGGGCATGGCTAGTCTCTGTATATGTGGGGCTCTGTGAATATAATAAAAATAAACCACCATCCAATATTTATTGTGTATTAATTGAATCTTCTGCACTGGGGATTTGCAATTTGCGCTAAATAGATTTGTTTTTGACTTACCCACTTAATATTATATTATATATATTTTAATACTTGGGAATAATATTTAAAAATATAAATAATTTTTTAGAAAAATATAAATTATTTTTTTAAAATTTTAAAACAAATCTGCCAACAATGTACTTGTTGTGGACCTGCTCAAATCAAAATCAATCACTTTGGATAATCACATAATGACCCTTTAGAATATGCTTTTCCAATTTGACTATATATATTTATATAAATGTATTGATCATAAAATATATGGATGTAATTAAATTTATTTGTTACAATATTCTAAAAAAAAAATCACACAAATTATTTAGAAAAAAAAAAAACAAATTCACTGAATCGTGGGCGTTGATTCAATCCGACGGTTGTAAAGGTTACAATTCATGTAGTTGTTGCGTTGCATGGAGTCAAACTTCCCTGTTCTTTGAAATCGGATTTAATTTACACGACAAGTGTAGAGTGAGTTTTGAGTATATCGATGCTTTATTTACTTACCAAAATTTAATGTCGCAAAATCTTATATCGAGATTTTTATACACAAAAAAAAAAAAAAAAAATTACATTAACTATTGGGATTTTTGTAATAAATAAATAAATAAATTGATTTATTTATGGTAGCTAGCTGTTAAATGGTAGTATTAATTATGTACTTTTGTTTTGGTATGCCGATCTTATCATATTTTGTTATTTACCACACTTTAATTTTGTTTTGTGCCGGACAATTCAATAATTAATATCTACGCCTGAAATTTCTTTTTTTTTTTTTTTTTTTTTTTTTTTTAATTCTTATATTTCCATACCCAATGTATAAATTATCCATTAGATATAAGGATTATATAAATGCAATACACAAAATTTTACTTTGGAATGTATGTTAAATTTCATAAAATTATTAAAAAAAGGTATGCGTATAGATGCATAAATTGCGTGTGCTTTCTTGTTGCGATACATAATAATACTACGAGCACCGGCTGTTCACGCCACTCGTGTCATCATTTTGTTTTACTCACCGTTCAAATTCAAATTCAATCATCTTATAACCTTTCATTTTCTTTTCCTTTATACAATTATAAATTAAATAATAATATAACCCCAAATTAAAATATTTTTCACATAATTGTCACGTGCTTAAATTTTTCAACCCATATATCTATATATAAAAACACATAATAATTACTCCCTTTATTTGTAAAGCTATATTTGGTGGTGGGAAAAATAAAAAGCAATGGACATAGAGAGTGGTGTAGCGACGACGTCGTTTTCTCATCGAATTCCTCCAAAGACACGAAACCAATGTTTTGAGTAATGGGTGCAACAACCGTCAGCCAAATGCCAATGCTATTGTCTGTGTTTATGCTTGCTGTTCCTCGTGACTTCTTGTAATGTTAACTTGTGGACGCTCCTATGCCAATAGACTGCGCTCGCTCAAATCTGCACCGTTGGATTAATCACACTCGAGATCTGTGCGCGATTAGAATGATTCGATGGTTTGGATTGGTGTTTTCCACCGTCGGATTTTGACTCACAGGTAGAAATGGAGGCAAAAAGGCATATCCAAAGAAATCAAGAATAACTCTGTGATGTGAAAATCTAAAAGTTATGATTAACTTATATTAAAACTCAAACACCAAAGAATAAACCAATAATTTCATATATTTTATTATTATTATTATTTTAAAATAAATTAAAAAAAAATTGTTTAGCTTTTAACTTAATCCAGTTTATATTTATGTAATTTTATCTACATATTAATAAATTAAAATTTTAATTTAATTAAATCATACATTATAAATTAATTATTATTATTTCAAAATATACTAAAAAATAATAAATTTTAATTATTTAAAAAAATTATTGTGACTACAACAATTCTATCAATGCATTATTAAATAATTATTTTACATAATATATATAAGTTTAGGTGATGAAGAATTATTGTTGATGGCATGCGTGACCTTGGTCAAAAGGGGTGGGACATTTATAAAAAAAAATTTGTGTAATATATAAGTTTAATTGATGGGAGTGAAATTAATTTAGAGTAAGACTTTAAAAAAAAAAAAAAAAAATCCATAATTTTGTCTTGCATGTGATATTGACCTATTCCTCAAATGGGTCAACCACATTTCTTCTAGGTTAGCACTGGAAAAGTATATATATATATATATATATATATTTTTTTTTTTTTTTTTTCCCATCATACAAAACACACATTTTTATTTTTTATTTTTTAAAAATAGTAACCGTTATAAAACTTGATATTAATTTCCATAAATTTCTTAAAATAATCTGATTTTTCAAATGTAAAATAGAAGAACAAAGAGGACATAAATGATGGGAAAGTGTGTAAATGTTTTTTACTTTGGAATTTGCATGGAAAGATCTGATAATTATAGTGCCAGCCTCAGGGAACACAACTTCACATATATTCACGCCAAGTACTCGCTCCTCCTCCCTCCTTCACTCACTCACCCCCAAAACAACCCCACAACACAAGAAATGCTTTCTCCCTTTCCCCTATTCTTCTTCCTCCTCCTCTGTTTCCCTTTCACCTTCTCTCTCAACCAAGAGGGTCTGTACTTGCAGCGCGTCAAGCTCGGACTCTCCGACCCAGACTCTGCTCTCTCCTCTTGGAACGAACGTGATGACACGCCCTGTAACTGGTACGGCGTCAAATGCGACCACGCTACTCGCTCTGTTTACTCGCTTGACCTCTCCAACACCGACATTGCTGGCCCTTTTCCTTATCTCCTCTGTCGTCTTCAGAATCTCTCTTTTCTTTCCCTTTACAACAATAACATTAACTCATCTCTTTCTTCTGATATCTCCGCATGCCAGAGCCTCGAACACCTTGACCTCGCTCAGAATTTGCTCACCGGTACGCTTCCTCATGCCTTAGCTGACCTTCCTAACCTCAAGTTCCTCGACCTGACTGGTAATAATTTTTCCGGCGATATTCCGGCGAGTTTCGGCGGGTTTCAGAAACTTGAGGTTATCTCTCTGGTTTATAATCTCCTTGACGGTACAATACCTGCGTTTCTGGGGAATGTAAGTAGTCTTAAGATGCTTAATTTGTCTTACAACCCGTTTAGTCCGGGTCGGATCCCGCCGGAGCTGGGTAACTTGACGAAGTTGGAGATTCTGTGGTTAACTGAGTGTAATCTCGTCGGCGAGATCCCCGACTCGCTGGGTCGACTCAAACGGTTGAAGGATTTGGACCTGGCTTTGAACAACTTGGTGGGTCCCATTCCGAGTTCGCTCACTGAGTTGACGAGTGTCGTTCAGATTGAGCTGTATAACAACTCGCTCGCCGGTGAATTGCCGTCCGGGTTCGGTAATTTGACGGCATTGAGGCTGCTCGACGCGTCCATGAACCAGCTGAGCGGGAGGATCACTGACGAATTGTGCAAGCTTCCTTTGGAAAGTCTCAATCTGTATGATAACAGGTTTGAAGGTGAATTGCCTGCCAGCATTGCTGACTCGCCGGGTTTGTACGAACTAAGGCTTTTCGGAAACCAACTTAGTGGCGAGTTACCCAAAAATCTCGGGAAAAACTCGCCGTTGCGATGGCTTGATTTGTCCAACAACCGGTTTACTGGCGAGATACCGGAGAGCTTATGCGAAAAAGGACGGCTCGAGGAGTTGCTGATGATATACAACCGGTTTTCAGGTCAAATACCAGAGAGTCTAAGCAAGTGTTCGAGCTTGACCCGGGTTCGGTTGGGCTACAACCAGTTATCTGGTGAAGTACCTTCTGGGTTCTGGGGTTTGCCTCATGTTTACTTACTGGAGCTCGTTAATAACTCACTTTCTGGGCAAATCGCCAAGACGATAGCTGCTGCGTCAAATCTTTCGGTGTTGATTATATCAGAGAATGACTTCAGTGGGTCACTGCCGGAGGAGATTGGGTTCTTAGATAACCTGGTGCAGATTTCGGCTGGTGATAACCGGCTCAGTGGGATATTGCCGAGTAGTATAGTGAAATTAGACGAGCTGGGCACTCTTGATCTTCACGGTAATAAATTTTCCGGCGAGTTACCTGCCGGGATTGGATCTTGGAAGAACCTAAATGAGCTTAATTTGGCGGATAACGAGTTTTCAGGCAAGATTCCTGAGGAAATTGGAAGCCTGTCCGTCTTGAATTATCTCAATTTATCAGGAAACCGATTTTCGGGTAAAATCCCGTTTTCCTTGCAGAATCTGAAGCTCAACCAGTTGAATTTGTCGAGTAATCGATTATCAGGTGAGCTGCCACCCATATTCGCCAAAGAAATTTACCGGAAGAGCTTTCTCGGTAATCCTGGTTTGTGTGGGGATCTTGAGGGTCTTTGTGACAGCCGAAATGCAGTCAAGAATCAGGGTTACGCATGGCTACTTCGGTCCATTTTTGTACTTGCTGCTGTCGTTTTCGTCGTTGGTGTTGTTTGGTTCTATTTGAAGTATAGGAGTTTTGAAAAAGCAAGAGCCGTAGACAAGTCGAAATGGACTTTGATGTCGTTTCACAAACTTGGTTTTAGTGAATATGAAATTTTAAATAGTTTAGATGAAGACAATGTGGTAGGAACTGGATCTTCTGGCAAGGTTTACAAGGTGGTCCTGGGTAATGGAGAAGCTGTTGCAGTAAAGAAGTTATGGAGCGGAGGAAAGAAGAATTCTGAGGGCAGTGACATAGAGAAAGGTCAAGTTCAGGTTCAAGATGATGGGTTTGAAGCTGAGGTTGAGACTCTTGGGAAGATTAGGCACAAGAATATAGTTAAGTTATGGTGTTGCTGTACTACCAGAGATTGCAAGCTTTTGGTTTATGAGTACATGCCTAATGGAAGCTTAGGTGATTTGCTGCATAGTAGTAAAGGTGGACTATTGGATTGGCCAACAAGGTACAAAATAATCATGGATGCAGCCGAGGGACTCTCTTATTTACACCATGATTGTGTTCCTCCCAT